GGAATGGCGGGAAAACTATCCGGGAATGGTGGGAAATCATCCTGGGAATGGCGGGAAAACTATTCGGGAATGGCGGGAAAATTTATGGGAATGGCGGGAAAATCATACAGAAATGGCGGGAAAAGTCGCCCAGGAATGGCGGGAAAAATCAAATGGGAATGGCGGGAAAATTCATTGGAATGGCGGGAAAAATCATCTGGGAATGGCGGGAAATCGTCGGGAATTGGGGAGGAAAATCCTGGGAATGGCGGGAAATCGGGGGGGGGGAACTGGAGGGAAAAGTTCTGAAATTTGGGGGGGAAAATTGGCGGGAAATTGGGGGGGAAAACGGCGGGAAATGGGTGAAATTTTGGGGAGAAATTGGCGGGGAAAATCGGGAGGGAATGGCGGGAAAATTCCCCTCCCCCCCCTTCATTTAGGGGCTCCAAACCCAGGGAATTTTAGAGGGGGGGAGGGGCCAATTTATTTTTTTTCAGGGAATTTTGGGGGTTTTTTGGGAATTTTGGGGTTTTTTGGGAATTTTGGGGTTTTTTGGGGAATTTTGGGGTTTTTTTGGGGAATTTTGGGGTTTTTTTGGGGTCTCTGACGCCCCCTCCCCTCCCCCCTCCAGGCCTGACCCCCCTGCACGTGGCCGTCGGCTCCGGGTCCCGCGAGAGCGCCCTGGTGCTGCTGGAGCACGGCGCCGACATCGACGCCGTGGTGGGAAAAGAGCCCGAATTCCGCGGGAATTCATCGGGGATTTATTGGGAATTTATCGGGGATTTATTGGGAATTTATTGGGGATTTATTGGGGATTTATAGGGAATTTATTGGGATTTTTTTGGGAATTTTTTGGGAATTTATTGGGGATTTATTGGGAATTTATTGGGGATTTATTGGAGATTTATTGGGAATTTATTGGGGATTTATTGGGAATTTATTGGGAATTTATTGGGGATTTATTGGGGATTTATCGGGGATTTATTGATAATTTATTGGGAATTTATTGGGATTTTATTGGGGATTTATTGGGGATTTATTGGGAATTTATCGGGGATTTATTGGGAATTTATCGGGGATTTATCGGGGATTTATTGGGGATTTATTGGGGATTTATTGGGGATTTATCGGGGATTTATTGGGATTTTATCGGGGATTTATTGGGGATTTATTGGGAATTTATTGGGAATTTATTGGGGATTTATTGGGGATTTATTGGGGATTTATTGGGATATATTGGGAATTTATCGGGATTTATTGGGAATTTATCAGGGATTTATTGGGAATTTATCGGGATTTATTGGGAATTTATCGGGGATTTATTGGGAATTTATCAGGGATTTATCGATAATTTATTGGGAATTTATTGGGATTTATTGGGGATTTATTGGGAATTCATCGGGGATTTATTGGGAATTTATCGGGGATTTATCGGGGATTTATTGGGGATTTATTGATAATTTATTGGGAATTTATTGGGGATTTATTGGGATTTATTTGGGATTTATTTGGGATTTATTGGGAATTTATCGGGGATTTATTGATAATTTATTGGGAATTTATTGGGGATTTATTGGGGATTTATTGGGGATTTATTGGGATATATTGGGAATTTTTATTGGGGATTTATTGGGATATATTGGGAATTTATCGGGATTTATTGGGAATTTATCAGGGATTTATTGGGAATTTATCGGGATTTATTGGGAATTTATCGGGGATTTATTGGGAATTTATTGATAATTTATTGGGAATTTTTTGGGATTTTTTTTGGAATTTATTGGGGATTTATTGTGAATTTATTGTGAATTTATTGGGGATTTATTGGGGATTTATTGGGGATTTATTGGGGATTTATTGGGAATTTTTTTGGGAATATTTTGGGAATTTTGGGGAATTTTTTCAGGAATTTTTTGAGGAATTTTGGGGGAATTTTTTGAAGAATTTTGGGGGAATTTTTGGGAATTTTGGGGGGATTTTGGGGGGAATTTTTTGGGAATTTTTTCGGGGATATTTTGGGAATTTTGGGGAATTTTTGGGGGATTTTGGGGGAATTTTCAGGATTTTTTGGGAATTTTGGGGGAATTTTTTGGGAATATTTTGGGAATTTTGGGGAATTTATTGGGAATTTTTTGAGGAATTTTTCGGGATTTTTTGGGAATTTTGGGGGGGAATTTTCGGGATTTTTGGGGAAATTTTGGGAATATTTTCAGGGAATTTTTGGGATTTTTTGGGAATTTTTTCGGGGATATTTTGGGAATTTTGGGGAATTTATTGGGAATTTTTTTAGGAATTTTGGGGGAATTTTGGGGAATTTTTTGGGGAATTTTTGGGATTTTTTGGGAATTTTTTGAGGAATTTTTCGGGATTTTTTGGGAATTTTTGGGGGGAATTTTCGGGATTTTTGGGGAAATTTTGGGAATATTTTCAGGGAATTTTCGGGATTTTTTGGGAATTTTTTCGGGGATATTTTGGGAATTCTGGGGAATTTTTGGGAATCTCCAGGACATCAAGAGCGGGCGCTCGCCGCTGCTGCACGCGGTGGAGAACGACAGCCTGGAGATGGCCGAGCTGCTGCTGCAGGTGAGGGAATTCCGGGAATTCCGGGGAATTCTGGGAATTCTGGGAATTTCTGGGAATTCCGGGAATTTTCTGGGAATTTTGGGGATTTTGGGGGGATTTTTTTTGGAATTTTTTGGGATTTTTTTGGGATTTTTTGGGATTTTTTTGTGATTTTTTGGGATTTTTTTGTGATTTTTTGGGGGATTTTTTTGGGGATTTTTTTGGGGATTTTTTTGGGAATTTTTTGGGATTTTTTTTGGAATTTTTTGGGATTTTTTTGGGAATTTATTGGGAATTTATTGGGAATTTTGGGGAATTTTTTCAGGATTTTTTTGGGGAATTTTTTGGGATTTTTTGGGATTTTTTGGGGATTTTTTTGGGATTTTTTGGGATTTTTTGGGGAATTTATTGGGAATTTTGGGGAATTTTTTCAGGATTTTTTTGGGAATTTTTTGGGATTTTTTGGGATTTTATTGGGGATTTTTTGGGATTTTTTTGGAATTTTTTGGGATTTTTTTGGGGAATTTATTGGGATTTTTTGGGATTTTTTGGGATTTTTTGGGGATTTTTTGGGGATTTTTTTGGGAATTTTTTGGGATTTTTTTTGGAATTTATTGAGAATTTTGGGGAATTTTTTCAGGATTTTTTTGGGAATTTTTTGGGATTTTTTGGGATTTTATTGGGGATTTTTTGGGATTTTTTTGGAATTTTTTGGGATTTTTTGGGGGAATTTATTGGGAATTTTGGGGAATTTTTTTGGGAATTTTTTGGGATTTTTTGGGGGATTTTTTTGGATTTTTTTTGGGATTTATTGGGAATTTTGGGGAATTTTTTGGGAGTTTATTGGGAATTTTTTTTGAATTTATTGGGAATTTTGGGGGATTTATTGGGAATTTTGGGGAATTTTTTGGGAATTTATTGGGATTTTTTTTTGGAATTTATTGGGAATTTTGGGGGATTTATTGAGACTTTTTGGGGAATTTTGGGGGGATTTTTGGGGGATTTTTGGAGATTTTTTTCTGGAATTTTTTGGGAATTTTTTGGGATTTTGGGGGGATTTTTTCAGGATTTTTTGGGGAATTTTTTGGGATTTTTTGGGGATTTTTTGGGGGATTTTTTGGGGATTTTTTTTGGAATTTATTGGGAATTTTGGGGAATTTTTTGGGAGTTTATTGGGAATTTTTTTGGAATTTATTGGGATTTTTTTTGGAATTTATTGGGAATTTGGGGGGATTTATTGGGACTTTTTGGGGAATTTTGGGGGGATTTTTTTGGGAATTTTTTTTGAATTTATCAGGAATTTATCAGGAATTTACTGGGAATTTATCAAGAATTTATTGGGAATTTTGGGGGGATTTTTGGAGATTTTTTTCTGGAATTTTTTGGGAATTTATTGGGAATTTTGGGGAATTTTTTCAGGATTTTTTTGGGAATTTTTTGGGATTTTTTGGGATTTTTTGGGGATTTTTTTGGGGATTTTTTTTGGAATTTATTGGGAATTTATTTGGAATTTTTGGGGATTTTTTGGGATTTTTTTGGGATTTTTTTTAGGAATTATTTTGGATTTTTTGGGAATTTTTGGGGGGAATTTGGGGGGAATTTATTGGGAATTTTGGGGGATTTTTGGGAATTTTTTGGATTTTTTGGGGGGATTTTTGGGGCATTTTTGATGCATTTTTGGGGCGATTTTTGGGGATTTTGGGTTTTTGAACCCCCCAAATCAGATTTTGGGCTTCCCAAACCCAAATTTTTAGGATTTTTTTGGGTTTCCACCACAATGACGTCTCCAAAACCCAATCCCACCTGGATTTTGGGTGGTTTTGATTGGTTTTAATGCATTTTTGGGGCACTTTTGGGGTATTTTTGATGCATTTTTGGGGCGATTTTTGGGTATTTTGGGTTTTTGAACACCCCAAATCAGATTTTGGGCTTCCCAAACCCAAATTTTTTGGTTTTTTCTGTGTTTTCCAGCACGGAGCCACCTCAAACCACAAATCCCACCTGGATTTTGGGTGGTTTTGATGCGATTTTGGGTCATTTTTGGGTCATTTTTGGGGCATTTTTGATGCATTTTTGGGGCGATTTTGGGGTATTTTGGGTTTTTGGACACCCCAAATCAGATTTTGGGGTTCCCAAACCCAAATTTTTTGGGTTTTTCTGTTTTCCAGCTCAAACCCCCAATCCCACATGGATTTTGGGTGGTTTTGAGGCATTTTTGGGGCATTTTTGAGTCAATTTGATGCATTTTTGGGGCATTTTAATGCAATTTTGGGGCATTTTTGATGCATTTTTGGGGCGATTTTGGGGGATTTTGGGTTTTTGGACACCCCAAATCAGATTTTGGGGTTCCCAAACCCAAATTTTTAGGATTTTTTTGGGTTTCCACCACAATGACGTCTCCAAAACCCAATCCCACCTGGATTTTGGGTGGTTTTAATGCATTTTTGGGGCACTTTTGGGGCATTTTTGATGCATTTTTGGGGCGATTTTTGGGGATTTTGGGTTTTTGAACACCCCAAATCAGATTTTGGGCTTCCCAAACCCAAATATTTTAGTTTTTTCTGTGTTTTCCAGCTCAAACCCCCAATCCCACGTGGATTTTGGGTGGTTTTGATGCATTTTTGAGTCAATTTGATGCATTTTTGGGGCATTTTAATGCAATTTTGGGGCATTTTTGATGCATTTTTGGGGCGATTTTTGGGGATTTTGGGTTTTTGAACGCCCCAAATCAGATTTTGGGCTTCCCAAACCCAAATATTTTAGTTTTTTCTGTGTTTTCCAGCTCAAACCCCCAATCCCACGTGGATTTTGGGTGGTTTTGAGGCATTTTTGATGCTTTTTGGGTCATTTTTGGGGCATTTTTGATGCATTTTTGGGGCGATTTTGGGGATTTTGGGTTTTTGAACACCCCAAATCAGATTTTGGGGTTCCCAAACCCACATTTTTAGGATTTTTTTGGGTTTCCACCACAATGACGTCTCCAAAACCCAATCCCACCTGGATTTTGGGTGGTTTTAATGCATTTTTGGGTCATTTTTTGGGGCATTTTTGATGCATTTTTGGGGCGATTTTTGGGTATTTTGGGTTTTTGAACACCCCAAATCAGATTTTGGGCTTCCCAAACCCAAATTTTTTGGTTTTTTCTGTGTTTTCCAGCTCAAACCCCCAATCCCACGTGGATTTTGGGGGATTTTGAGGCATTTTTGGGGCATTTTTGAGTCAATTTGATGCATTTTTGATGCATTTTTGGGGCGATTTTGGGGTATTTTGGGTTTTTGAACACCCCAAATCAGATTTTGGGGTTCCCAAACCCAAATTTTTTTGTTTTTTCTGTTTTCTGTTTTCTGTTTTCTGTTTTCTGTTTTCTGTTTTCTGTTTTCTGTTTTTTTCTGTTTTCCAGCTCAAACCCCTGGATTTTGGGTGGTTTTGATGCGATTTTGGGTCATTTTTGATGCTTTTTGGGTCATTTTTGGGGCATTTTTGATGAATTTTTGGGGCGATTTTTGGGGATTTTGGGTTTTTGAACACCCCAAATCAGATTTTGGGCTTCCCAAACCCAAATTTTTTGTTTTTCACTGTGTTTTCCAGCACGGAGCCAGCGTGAACGCCCAATCCTACGTGGATTTTGGGTGGTTTTGATGCGATTTTGGGTCATTTTTGGGTCATTTTTGGGGCATTTTTGATGCATTTTTGGGGCGATTTTTGGGTATTTTGGGTTTTTGAATACCCCAAATCAGATTTTGGGGTTCCCAAACCCATATTTTTTGGTTTTTTCTGTGTTTTCCAGCACGGAGCCACCTCAAACCACAAATCCCACCTGGATTTTGGGTGGTGCTGCACGCGGCCGCGGGCCGGGGGCTGCTGCGGCTGCTGCGGCTCCTCCTGCGCTGCGGCGCCGACTGCGGCCTCCGCAACCTGCACAACGACACCGCTGCTGGCGTGGCTGCCAGCGCCCAGGTGAGCATTTGGGGGGAATTCAGGGAATTTTGGGAAATTTTGGGATTTTTTGGGGATTTTTTGGGGATTTTTTTAGGATTTTTTGGGGATTTTTTAGGATTTTTTGGGGATTTTTTTGGGATTTTTTGGGACTATTTGGGGATTTTTTTGGATATTTTTTAGGGTATTTTTGGGGATTTTTGGGGGATTTTTTTGGGATTTTTTGGGATTTTTGGGGGATTTTTTTGGGATTTTTTGGGGTTTTTTTAGGATTTTTTTGGGGATTTTTTTAGATTTTTTTAGGATTTTTTGGGGATTTTTTTAGGATTTTTTTAGGATTTTTTTGGGATTTTTTAGGGTATTTGTGGGGATTTTTTGGGGATTTTTTGGGGGATTTTTTTGGATTTTTTTGGGATTTTTTAGGATTTTTGGGGGATTTTTTGGGGATTTTTTTAGGATTTTTTAGGATTTTTGGGGGATTTTTTGGGGATTTTTTAGGATTTTTTGGGATTTTTTGGGGATTTTTTTTTGGATTTTTTTTATTTTTTGGGGGATTTTTTTAGGATTTTTTAGGATTTTTGGGGGATTTTTGGGGGATTTTTTTTTATTTTTTGGGGATTTTTTGGGGATTTTTTGGGGATTTTTTAGGAGATTTTTGGGGATTTTGGGGGGAATTTTTGGGGATTTTTTTTGATTTTTTGGGTATTTTTTAGGAGATTTTTGGGGATTTTTTGGGGATTTTTTTGGGATTTTTTGGGATTTTTGGGGGATTTTTTGGGGATTTTTTTAGGATTTTTTAGGAGATTTTTGGGGATTTTTTAGGATTTTTGGGGATTTTTGGGGGATTTTTTGGGGATTTTTTTTGGGATTTTTGGGGGATTTTTTAGGAGGGTTTTTTTGTATTTTTTAGGGATTTTTGGGGGATATTTTGGGGATGTTTTTGGGATTTTTGGGGGATTTTTGAGGCCTCCTCAACCTGCACAACAACACCGCTGCTGGCGTGGCTGCCAGTGCCCAGGTGAGCATTTGGGGGATTTGGGGATTTTTTGGGATTTTTTTGGGATTTTTTTGGGATTTTTTTGGGATTTTTTTGGGATTTTTTGGGATTTTTCGAGGATTTTTTAGGGTATTTTTGGGGATTTTTTGGGGATTTTTGGGGGATTTTTGGGGGATTTTTTTCGGATTTTTTAGGATTTTTTGGGGATTTTTTAGGATTTTTTGGGGATTTTTTGGGGATTTTTTTTGATTTTTTGGGGATTTTTTTTTATTTTTTTGGGATTTTTTGGGGATTTTTTGGGATTTTTTTGGGGATTTTTTTTTGATTTTTTGGGATTTTTTGGGGATTTTTTAAGGATTTTTTAGGATTTTTTGGGGATTTTTTTTGGATTTTTTAGGAGATTTTGGGGGATTTTTTGGGGATTTTTTGGGGATTTTTTCGGATTTTTTGGGGGGATTTTTTATGATTTTTTGGGGATATTTTTAGGAATTTTTTGAGATTTTTTAGGATTTTTGGGGGATTTTTGGGGATTTTTTGGGTGAATTTTTGGGGATTTTTTGGGGGAACTTTTGGGATTTTTTGATAATTTTTTGGAGATTTTTTTGGCAATTTGGGGGATTTTGGGTTATTAATTGGGATTTTGGGGGATTAAAGTGGATTTAAAGTGGATTTTGGGGGATTTTCAAGAGATTTTGGGCAATTTAAGGGGGATTTTTGGGGAT